TATTGAACGACCCTAAAAACACACACACACAACAGAATTTGCTGATTCCATCTGGGGACAGTCACAACACCACAAATTTCTCCTCCCACCGCCATCCACATCATGGTGAATTTCCTTTCTTCTAACTTGAGAATATTTTTGGGCTTGGTTGTCACTTTTCACCTTCACTAACATGCTTTATCAAGCATTACTAGGGCATCTGAATCCACATTTACTTATCACTGCTCTGACGTAGATGAAGAGAGCCTTAAGAACTGTAACTCTGCAAAGCTCATTTAGATACATCAGAGTCTCCCAGCCCCTCCTGGCCTGGGGCAATTGAGCTAATGAGGAATATTCCCATTAGGCACTTATATATTTTATAATCTGTCTGCTTATATCAAGCTAAATAACCACACTGTATGCTGCTTGTTTTGAGGGGGGCAATATTGGCTGTAATCATAAAGCATCCACAATTTTCCATGCAAATGAGACATCACCAGTAACAGCCACTTCTCCCTCTCCTGTAGTATCATCCCCTACTTTCAGCAAGGACCAGCTATTTTTACCTGCTTGAATAATGAAATTTGTGGATTAGTAAAACTCATCTACAGCTGCCTGATGATGAGGTTTTTTTCTTTTATATATTTATAGATCTCCCAAATGAACAAAAATATAAAAGAGTGATTCCACCAGCCAAGAGGAAAGCTGGCTGCGACATTACACTCAGCAACTTAGGTGTGTTTGCTCATTGGGTGCTCTGCCATCTTCAAGTCACTCCGTGGAACAATCCTTTTGACCATATTTCATGTCCTACCAGCACCTGCAAGAGTGGCTGGTAGGACAATGGATTATAACAGCCCCCAGCCGCACTCCCTGTGGGCTGTTGGGGCCATCCCAAATCCCATTCCCACAGCCTGGGGCTCTCCAACATGCCCGGGGAGCAGGTAAAGGTATTTCCCACCCTAGAGGCTCCCAAGCCACGTGCATGCTCCCAGCACTTCTCAGGGTGTTTCAGAGAAGGGCAGGGAACGTGTCCCAAGGGCAAGGAGCTGCTTTCACCGTTGCTGAGTGTATTCCCCAAAGCAAACCATCCTGGGAATCCCCATCTGCGGTGTTCAGGGGCTCCCTGACAGCCTGGACATGGCTACATAAAACACTTGCAGAAAGGCCAAGACTTGGCCAAGCCAGACACAACCTCCTTGTCCAAATTCTCCAGAAAGAGGAGCACACCAGGCCTTGCTGGGAAGCTTCTGTCTCAGAGATGAACACCCCAGGTGCCCACAAGCCCTTCCGTAGGGCTGTGCATATCTGCAGAGCAGATAGAGGGATCTTTTCACCCCAACAGCTACACCAGTGCAGCCATATGGACACACATTGGTACAAATTATCTCCCTTCCTCCCTAGGGACAGCTCTCCATGGGGAAAAGGGCAGCAGCTCCCCACTGCTGCTCCACACCCACTCCATCCTGATCCACCAGCCGTGCTGCTGGCAGGAGTGCTCCCTTTCCATGTGCTCTGGACTGGCACGGCTGCCACAGGCATGGGGCTGGATCATTTCACCCACATCCATCAGATGAGCTTGAAATCACAGACGAGTCCTAAACTTGGGGCTTAAAAGCCCAACACAGGGAGATCATAGAATGGGTAAGGCTCAAAAGGACCACTGGAGGTCATCTAGTCCAACCTCCCTGCTCAAGCAGGCTCCCCTAGATGAAAGAGCAAGAGAGGTTTGTAAAGAAAAACACCATCCTTTCTGACTGACCAGTGTCTCTGGAAGGAAAGCTCTCCACCTGCAAACCTTCTGCTCATGTCCCAGAGCGCAGCTCAGACTACATCAGTGGGACATCACTGGTTCTAAGAGCAAGGAGCCTGACAATTAGTTAGTCCTTAGCTGGAATGAACAGCTACACAGTTACTAATTTCAAACAAAAAAATAAATTAAATAACTACTGAAGAACCTTAAGATGCAGGCTGGTTCTTTTCTCAATGATCTTTAGCTTTTCATGCCATGCTTTTACAGCCTGGAGATAAAGGTATCCAACTGTTTGCTGCTGGTTGTATTTGGGGTTATTCTTTTTATTCTCCTCAATCTGCCAAATAAGTTAATAATATAAAATCTAGTCTTCTAAATCGTTCAAAATTCATCAAGATATTAAGCTTTCGTGTATGTATTGCCTCCCAAATTCTATCACTTGTGCCACACTGCAGTGTCCATGTAGCCATTCAAAAGCAAGTGTCCCATAAATTTCTTAAAATTCCATAGCACTGGGACCAAAACTTAGCTGAACAAAACTTTAGAACCTGGAGAGAAACTGCTGCTTCTTACACAGATTAGTTCTGGAAGGAGAGGAAGAACGAACCCGTCTTGCTTCCACATGATTACCAAACTTCTGTTTACTGCTACAGTTTGGCTGGCAAACGAGCAGAGGGTAAACAAACCCAGCCATATGTTCCTTGCACAGCTCAAACCCTGCACGGCTGGGCCGTGTGGGCGTGCAGATGTTTGCGTGCCCTGCAAAACCACCCTGCAGAGCACGGCCGAGTGGGCGCCGCGGGCACAAACCAGCGCTCCTGCGCTGCCATCACAGGTGCTGCAAGAGGGTACCATGAAAACACCTGCAAAATGTGCCATTTGTCTCAAAACCAGGGTATTTTTCAACAGCATTTCTGCAGAAAAACGCCCTAAAAGAAGCAGCTCGAAACACCGTTTATGGATTCTGAACTTGTTTTGGCACCACGTTTTCCACTCTTCGTTTCCACATTGTTTCCCAGGTCAGGAGTGGCACACATCAAAATGCAATAGAGAAGAGAAACAAAAGGTTTCCAGCTGGAAAATTTCTGAAAGCTTTTCAATAGTTCTCATAAGATTAAAAAAAAAAAAAAAAAAAAGCTTCTATTCCAAGTTCTGACAAAACCAACTATAATCCTTTAACTTGATATCGAAGAGAGATGTGAAACTGAAGAGATAATGTGATTACCTCCACTTTAGCTCTGTACTGGGACACTAATTACATTTTTTCTTTCTCAGAAAACATGTTTTGCTACGTGTTTAGAGAGAAAATGGTTTTGTACTTCTGTAAGGATGCCCACAGCTGCTTCAGTATACATGGACTCTATCTCTGTTGAGCTGCTGAAGGGCTGCCCTGGCAAAATCATTTCCCTCAGTGTTAATTTTTGCTGAAAGAATTCTCCATCAGATCATTCTTCTCTCTGCTCCTGAGCTTGGTACAGCTCTGTAGACAGAAGTGGAGCTACAAGAGCTTTGCTATCTCTGCTTTTAAGAGAGAGCATTAGCCTTTTCTCTGTGATTTATCCCAATTAGATACCTCAAAACTTGCAGTGCTTACCACAGTGTGAGTATACAAGGTGGTCTGAAACACTGCTTAACTGTGGGAAGGAGATGTAAAGAAACTACTGCCATGCATGGTCTGGGTATTGCTTTTGCTAAAATGGCACTCCAAATGTGGACTGGTCTTAGAAAGATCATTTTTATTTTAAGCATCAGAAACATCCTCTTATTATCCTTGCCATATATAAGCCCACTCTGAAGACAAGGTCGTAGCAGGTTTTTGCAGATTACTTTAAAAAAAGTTTGCAATAATGCATATCTTTGTACTGCCCTTGATTTACTCCTGTTTTTTCCTGATTATTAGAAGAAAACAGACAAGATGGCACAGAAACAGCACCGACTTCTCCATCTTGTTCTTTGGGGGGGAAGTGGAAAGCCAGAAAGCGAGGAATAAACGCAAAGTAGCCCAAGGAAGAAAGCCAGCTTCAACTTTTACCCCGAGAGAACGGAGGGGCGGGGGGAGATGTCACCGAGCCTCCCTCTCCCCAGCCCCTCTCCTTTTGTTCCATTTTTTTCTGCTAAAACCGCGTCAGCGTGAGGGCAGTGACCCCGCCGCCCCCCGACTGCGGGCCGGGCAGCGCAGGGGCGGGGGCTGCGGGGGCTGCGGGGGGGATCGCGGTCCGCACTCAGGGACGAGCGGCCCCGGCCCCGGCCCCGTCAGCGGCCGCTCCAAAGGACGATGCTGCTGCCGTCGCCGCCGAGGGGCCGGGCAGCGACCCGCCCGCGGGGGTCCCGCCGCAGCGGCCGCGGGGACTGCGGGGACACACGGACCGAACCGTGCCCCGCGGCCAGACCCGCGCCCGGCGGGGGAGCGGCCCCGTCGCTGCGGCCCCGCGGGGTCCCCGCGCACCCACCGCCCCGCACGGCCCCGCCCGGGGTCCCCCCGGCCCGGCACACTCACCCACGGAGTCGGGCAGGGCCACGCCGCCCGGGCGCTGCTGAGTCAGGGACTGCCGCATGGTGCCGGTGCCGCCGCTCCCGCCGCAGCCGCGGGGCCACGGCGGCCGCCACAGCCCCGGCACCGGCCGCGCCTGCGCAGCGGGGCGGGAACCGAGCGGCGGGGCCGGCGCGGAGCCGAACCGAGCAGAACCGAACCGAGCAGAGCAGAACCGAGCAGAACAGAACTGCCCCGAACCGAACCGAGCAGAGCAGAACCGAACCGAACCGCACCGCCCGCTGCACCCCCGGCCCCGCGGGGAGCGCTCGGGAACGGGCACGTCCTTCCCAAGTGACTGCCCGGGGCCGTCCCGCTGGAAACAGCGGAATGACAGTGCCCCGGGGGAGCTGGGGAGGGAGGGAGGGACAGAGCTGCTGCCCCATCTCCGCGAGGGACACAGCCGCTGCCCCGTCTGCGGAGGGGACGGAGGTGCCGTCTCCGGGAGGTCCCGCCGCACTCACCGGCAGCCCGGCCAGAGGGGCTCCCCGCCTCGCTGGTGTTGGCTCTCCTCATCTTTCTCCAGCCCCTTTACCTTCAGCAGGTCCCAGCCCTGTTGCTCTGGGACACTCCGTCCTTCCCCAAACACCTCCCTGGCACCTCTCTGTTACCCCGTCCTCCCCATCTCCCTCCTCCCTGCGGTGTGGGTGACAGTCCCGGGCAGCCACCCGGCCAGGGCCACTGGCCCAGTGTTTTATTTCCCGGTGCTCTGAGACCTCCGCTCCGGTGGCGATGCCTGTTGCTGCCCTTGCCCTGTCCCATGGAGGCAGCAATACCCTGCAATCTCCTTGCGTCTCTGGCCAAGGAGCCAGGACAGGCCCTTAACCTCTGTTTTCCACATCCTATCCGTAAAATGGGGATAAAAGCATCTTCCCAGCAGGCTTCATAATTGCTTGTAAATCGCTTTAATGCCCTGGGCTGAAAGGTGCTAAGTACAAGTCATATAATTATTTCAAGCATATTTCATCAAGTTAGAAGAAACTAATCCTATCTCTGCTTTTAAAAAACCCACAACACACCACACTTTAACTGGATAAGAGCCTAATGACCAGCTTCTCCCAGGAGAAAAGGGAAAGCCTACACTGACAACAGTGCAAGAAACAAGTTACAAATGCCCAGATCAATTAATGGCAAAGAACACATCACCTCCAGAGAAAACAGCAGTTGTTCACTTCGAATGAACCAGAGGAACCTCGAGCTCACTGCCTGTGTCCCACTGGACAGAGGGGCTGGCACTGATCCCCTCCTGCTCGGTCTCCCCCACTCTGTGCCAGTGATGGAGGAGGCAGATCTCAGTTTCATCCTTCACTCTGTGCCAGCGCCAGGATGAGCAGCAGCACAACTGCTGCGACAGGTGTGTGTGTGCCCCCCGGGGAGCTGCTGGTGCCCTACAATTGCCCAGGCCATGTTAAATCCCTGCATCCCATCCCAGCTTCAGGAAGGCAATTCTTGCCCCAAGGAGCCGGCCTGGCCAGGAGGTCCAGCTGTGAGCACAGCTGCCCGAGTGCCCTCCTGCCTGCGGGCTGGCTGCGGGCAGGACCGGCACCAGCACCGAGCCAGCCCTGCCTGCAGACCCAGCAGGCATTGCCAGCCCCGGCCAACTCAGCACAGACCAGGGCAGCTGCCAGACCTCTTTGTTTCCTGCTGTGCCCGTTTATTAGCGCAGCCGGTGAGTGGCTTTCAGCCACGCTCAGGAGACGAGAGGGAGAAGTGGTGCTTTGCCTGCTTGGATGGCACCGTGCAGCCCTGTGGGAGCCTGGGACAGATGTCCCTGTCTCTCCAGGCAGAGCTCCAGCCTAGGCAAGGCAGTCTTTCCCCACTGTTGAGCAGGGCCTGGCTCTCTTGTGAAGGGAAAGGTCACTGGTCCCATTGGAATCGTGCCAGTGAATGAGCTGGTGGATGGTGCTAAGCTCCTGCTGGGACAGACACTGTAACATGAGCCCCGCTGTTCCTTGAGAGCTGTGTGGGCACAACCAGGGACAGGCAGCCCCCGTGTGCTGCCATCACACCACTGGAGTTGTTCCAGGGGCAGGGCTCCAGCACGCAGCCCCTGTGCCCCAGTGCATCATCTTGTGCCTGTAATTCACTGGTGGGTGAAAAATCTGACACCCCCAGCACCGAGTCTGCCGGATGTCACAGCAAGGTATCCTTCTGGATTTTTTTCTGGTTGTCTGTGCTGAGCTCTTTAAGCCAGGTCGAGGAAGCAGATGCTGTGAACTCCTGGCTGCTGTCATTATTCAAAGGGGTAAATATAGACCTGCCCCTTGCACTGCAAAAGAGATTTTGTAAGCATTAACCATGGCCCACTGTGACTGACAAGCACACATTGACCGACATGTGGCCATAGGAAACCCTAGTGATTTGCTAATGTTTATTAACAGCTACATGATCTCCTGGGGGTGAAGAGCTGGCTTCCCCATGTAGGGCACTGACTGGCAGTGATGGGGACTCAAACATGAGGCAGGATGTGGTGAGGGGGCTGCAAAGGGCACCAGATTCCGGAGGACTCAGGGTAGGATCCTGTTGCATTGAGCTCACCCCTCTTGGGAAAGCAAGTTATTTTTTGATCCACTCCTGAACGCTGAGCTCTGCAGGGTAGGGAGGGAAAGCAGTGTGGTTCCCCACAGACTGGCAGAGGTCTTGGCACAGCTGTGATTTTGGGGGGTGCTGTGGGGCTGTGGGTTTGTGCCTGTGGGTTCCTGAGAGCTGGGGCACGTGCTGCTGTGCTAACACTCATGTTTCTCTGTATTTCCCACCCAGGGATGGACAGGAACACCAGCACCAGGGGCATGGAGGGCCAGCACAGGAGCCCCAGCCAGGAGGCGGTGAGTGTTTCGGGGGCTGCTGGCCACCCTCCAAGAGGCGAGTGGGAGCTGCTGCAAGGACCTGCTTCATGGCTGATAAATATAACTGCTTTGCTTTAGGAAATGCTGCTTTGTTCCTTTAGCAAAGCACTTTGTACTGGGAGGGGAAAGGACAGCAGCAGTTCTAGCTAGTGGTGCTGGATGATGAGGGGGACTAGGAGGGATGGGGACGCTGGGCACGGTGACTCTCTGCACACCTGGATTTCAGCAGAAGGAATACCCCATTGAGAGCTGACCTGGTCTGGGGTGAGGATAAGGGAAAGCCCCTGGTTATCCCCAGGACACCCACAACTGGCAGCACAGAGTGATCTCACCAGGGATGAACAGTAGCTTTGCTTCCCCAGCTGTCATGGCCCGCAGCAGCCCAGGGCTGTCCAGTGTTCCAACACATCCTGCCTGGCTGTGTCGCCTCCCTGCCCCAGCACATGCCTGTCCCAGCTGCTGCCACTACTTCTGCACCTTGTCCAAGTGAAAGGGACTGCTCCAAGGCCATCTCTGTCCTGGACTGCAAAGCTAAACCACCTGAGAGGTGTTCCCTTCCAGACCTGACCCAGCTAACAGACATCTGCTAGGCAGTGTGCTCATCCCATCCTGTCCAGCTGCCCCACACCCCTGTGTTTCCATCAGCCTGTACCATGTGTTCCCTGTACCTCTGGCCATGCAGGAGCTCGGGAATGGCTCAGGAAGGGCTCCAGCCTGGGGTGCAGGACCTGGGCCAAGCACTGCCTTGGCTGTTCGGGCAGCTGTGGGCACCGTGCCAGGAGCAGAGCTCTGACGCAGGCAGGATAACAAAGGAGCCCCACCGGCACTTTAGCCAGAGCTGATCAGGGCAATCAGTGGGATGCTGATGGTTTACAGCCACCCTGGGTCTGACCAGGCTCCCCAAGGGACACATTCAGGCTTTGGAGTCAGTGCTCTGCCCCCATTCTCACTGTTTTGCAGTATTTGCGTATCTGTGGAAAATTTAATCCCCCTGCCCCCGATTCAAAGGTGTTTCCAAGCCAAGCTTTCTGCCAAGCTGTCAGCCACTTCCCGGCTCCCCCGGGGCAACCCACGGGGTGCAAATGTCTTATTTGTTAGTCCTGGCTCCAACAGGTGCCTGTGACCAGCGATGCTGCTGGTGCAGCCGCTGTGGATCTGCGCTCAGAGTGGGCACAGCAGCCCAGGGAGCCCAGTCCTGCTCTGAGCTGAAAGCTGGATCAGCACCCTCTCCCACCTCGCTGCCAGCTTTTGGAGACACAGAACCTGCCCAGGTTCAAGGACGGCTGCTGGGTCTCAAACGAGTCTTGACCAGGCCCAGGTACAGAGAGGTTTGTGTTCCTCAGTTCTGGACAAACAAGTTTTCACCACCGAGGCAAAATACAAACTGTTGCAACCTGGGGAGATGCTTTTCCCTGGAACTCGGTGTAATTGAAATGTAACAACAGAGGGATTTCTCCAAACACTAAACACTTCCTCCTGTGCCAAGAAAAACAAACTGGATGACCTCTTATATGCTGCTGCCTGCTGTCATCTGTGGCAGCACAGAAAATGTGCACTTGAGCTCAGAGATGTTGCAGAAGCGTGGGAACAGTCCTGACCCTCCCAGATCACAGGTTTTGTTTGATCATGTTCATGCAGGTGGAAAAAGATGAGTTTCTGTAAATGCCAGGACAAGGAGACAGTACCCAGTGTGATGGCAGTGACGTACATGTCATGGAAAAAATGGGTGCTGGGTTCTAAGAGATCTTAAGTTGGAGCAGCCAAAACTGCCTCTCTTTAACTCAAGAGTGATGATGGGAAAATGGAAATTTGAAACATTTCCAGCTATTAAGTGCTTTTGCATTTATTTTTGTCCAATGAGATGTTCAGCTTGCCTGTGGGGGTTGTGTTTTGTAACTCTTCCAGGAAAATAAGCATGAGGAGAAGGTCCAGGATCCTAACAGAGGGAAGGACGAGACCAAAGCAGAGATGGGGAGCAAAACCTGGGCAGACCTGGCTGGGGAGATGAAGATATTCCTGTGGAACCCGGAGGAGAGAACATGCCTGGGGAGAACGGCCAAGAGCTGGGGTAGGTCCTTGCTCAAGACCCACTTCTGGGGGTTGTTGCCTTTTCTGCTTCACAACAGATTCACTTACCTGTGAATGTCCTTGATAGCTTGGACTGGCCACCCCTGTTCATTTTTTTAGTGTAAATGTTTCTAACCAGTGCAATAAAGAACTAGTGAGGAGGACAAGCAGAAAACCGTGGAAAAGTTATTCTTGGTCTGGATGTTAATGCTGACTGAGAGTGTGAAAGCAAAGATTTCAGGCTGCCCAGACTGAGCCCTAGAAAGAAATGTATAGCCCGAGCAAGTTTGGGGCTGCAGGTCAGTGTGCTGCAGCTGTGCACCCCAGCTCCTGCCTGAGTAAGTCAGGAGCCTGTGGGACGGTGGCTTTGGGGTCATCAGGTTGGTAGGGGAAGGGTGCCTGAGCTGTAGGGCAGGTGTTTTGTGAAGGGTGCCCACCACACAGCCCTCCCTGCCTGTGTGAGCCCTGGCTCATGGGAGGGAAGGGCTGGTCCCCACTGTCACCCCACGGCTTCCCGGGGAGTGACATGGTGCCCACAGCAGAACCCACAAGTGCTGTCAGAGCCAGTGGGCTGGCATGTGCCAGTGAGGGTTCTGAGTGCCTATCTATTTTAACCACATCCATGTGGCCTTCAAAAATTACCTCTGAGGCTGGAGGTACCCCGGGTGGTTAAGAGCAGCCTGTGGCTGTGGGGAGAGCTCTGCTGCATGCTCGGTCCAAAACCAAGGTGCCACAGCACATGTGGTGCCATCCACCTTTCCAGCTCTGTTCTGATAGCACGGAGTGAAAATCCCAACCTGAGCCCAGAATCACTCGCACATCCACACCAGTGCAGGACTGTGAACTCTCAGGGGCTGCTGCTCAGTGTTTGCAGCCTTGGCTGGCACTGGCACCACACTGCAAGCCCCGCAGCCTGCCTGTGCCCCTGCCAAGCGCTCTGGGTCTCCTGCAGAGCCTGTGGGGACAGCCAGGAGCAGCTAAGGAAGCTGCCCACCAGCACCAGAAGAGTCTGAAAACCTGCAAGCCTGAGTCAGAGTCAGATCTTGACATCCACATTTGCTCCCCTGTGCCCTTTGCTGGCCATGGAGGCATCTTCTGCCCTTTGCTGGATGGGAAGGTGCAGAATGAAGTGTGGTAGCAGTATGGGGGTGACAGCCCTTAGTGATGTGGGTTTGTGTTTCTGGAGGCTCTGAGAGGTGCTGAGAAGATGCCTGTGAGAGAACTTGCTCAGTCTGGTGTGGATGTGACCCTGCCTGGCTATTGCTGGCAGTTATTTATTTGCAGCCTCAGGGTGGGTGCAGCATCCTCCTGCACCATGGGATCATCGTGCTCTGCCAGATGATCCCACTCCTCATGGACACACATGCCCTTGGTGCACACACGTGTGCTCACGTGCCCGTACAGGGGGACAGGAGAGAGACGTTGAAACTACGGTGAAAATCAAAATTTCTGTTAAAGGGAGAGCATTTGGAGGTGAATGAAGCTGAACTTTCCCGCTTTCATCTCATGGGGGAGGAGGAGGAAATTTGCCCAGCCTGGGGCTGCTCCCCCGTGCTGCTCTGAAGGTGTCCCTCAGGGACTGGGGGCTCAGGGGACTTGCAGTGACAAAGTGCAGGGCCACAGGGTTATCACCAGAGGGCCCAGGCCCTGGGAAAGGCTGCACCCCCCCTCTCTGCCAGTGGCAATGCTTCCCATTGCACTGCAGGAAACATCAGAAAGGGAATGCTAGTGGCAAGGTCATCAACAAGCATCATCTTGGCACCCCAACAGCAGCTGCAGCTCCGCCAGGCTGGGATAAAGGCACCATCCATCATCACCGAGGCAGGGCTGGACATTGTCCCTGCTGTGCCACCAGCAGCAGTGATGGTCCCCTGCACCTCGGCTCAGCCCGCAGCAGGACATGGCCCCACAGTTGTTCCCAGCACCGTGGCTGCGGCAGAAGCACGGCAGGAGTGCACATCTGTGTTCCCAGGGCTCCTCCCGAGCTGCCGGAACGTTTCTCCTGGGAAATGTTTGGGTTAGAGCTTCACTTTGCTTTCTGAGCCGCTGGGTTTTATTCATAGGCCGTGGCCTCTTGAGACATCCTCAGCCATGAGCCTGGCCCAGAGGAAAAACAAACCCATTCCCTGAATGTCCTGGCCATGACACAGCCACTGTGGTGCTGCAGCCCTGGAGGGTTCAGGTGCTGCTCACTCAGTCTCAGCACCAGGGTCCCTGCCATGCCGGGGACAGGAGTCAGGGCAGGAGCATCGCCCCACAGCCCCACCAGGAATTTGGAGGTGCTGAAGTCACTGGGTATCCTTGCAAGATACCATGCCAAGAGGGGGTGGGAAGGGCAAGAGGCAAGGTTGGGTCTGTCTGTCGGAGAGATCCAATGCAGGCAGACACACAGACCTGGTCCTGACACAGCTCTGGGAAGGGCCCTGCAGCAAAAGGGGTACAGAGCCAAGTAGCAGCTGCCCCAGTCCCGGGGCTGGGCAGGGAGCTTGTCTGGCTGAGAGTCCTGCAGCCAAAACCAGCAGGGTCTGTGTGCAGGGTGTGTGTGCAGCTCCCACCTCCACCGTGGACTCAGAGCTGCGGAGGACGCCGAGCTGAGCACGACTGTGCATCCCCGTGGGACACCTCCCACGGGATGTGCTCTGGTTGCGTTAACAGCAACATGCCTCTGTCTTTTGCAGGCCTGATCTTACTGTTTTACTTCGTTTTCTACACGTGCCTGGCGGGAATGTTTGCCTTTTGCATGTACGTGATGCTGCTCACGCTGAGCCCCTACACGCCCAGGTTCCGGGACCGCGTGTCTCCGCCGGGTACGTACCCCAGCCAGCCTGGCCCTGGGCACCTCTGAGGGCACTTGCCCAGCAATATCCTACTGAAATGGCATGGCTGGGACCTCAGACAAAGCCCTGCTGGAGCTGTGCACTCCCACAGCCACCCAGCCCTCCATCACACAGGGTGTTCTCACTTAGGGCACTGACAGAGCTGTGGGTTCTCTGCAGAGGATCAGACATCTTAAATAGCCCCATGGGAAGCATTTGTCGGGATTATACTAATTGTTATTCTAATTATGCTATTTATTGTTATCATTATTCTCAAGGTAAAAGGCCAAGTTTAGTCATTTCATAGGTGATGCTGATTCATTTCAGCTGCTGCCTGTTTACACCTCATGTCTTCAAAATAAAATGCAAATCAAGAGTAGATTTTAAGCATTAATATTTGGGGGAGTTCTCGCAAGATAACGTTCAGAAAATCCTTTCCCTGTGTCACACACAGCATTTTCCCTGTGTTTTTGTGTTGGTGGGGAACACAAGGCCCTCTCACCTTGACCCCTGTATGGAGACAGCCACACAGCTGGCAACATGGAGAACGCCTCAGCCACTCTGTGCAACCCCAAGCTCAACACTTACCCACAGCACTGCTGAGACCCTCCATATCCTCCACATTTCCTGGGATATTTTGACGTGTACATGGTGTTCTCTGGGGGTGAAATGCAGGTGAGGGATCAGTAGGTTGAGGAGAGAGTTGATTTGTGCACTGGTGCTGCCGCTCTCACGGCTGTGCCCAGCCCCAAGCCCAGTCACAGAGCAACCAGCCCCTGCACCACACACCCCAAGCCCGTGGCCAGTCCACCCACATTTGCTCTATCAGGGTTCTTCTTCTTCAGGAGTGATGATCAGGCCATACTTGAATGGGTTCACCATTGCCTTCAACGTCTCTCAGCCCAACACGTGGCAGCCCTATGTGGACAACATGCACCACTTCCTAGCAGGTAAGCTCTTCATCACCCCAGGAATCACGTTGGTGAGTTGTTTCCATCCATGCATACACGGGTGCAGGGGGTCTCCTCCTGGGCATCTCATGACCCCCATTTGGAAAGGGAGGCTCAAAAGGTTATGGGGGCTTCTGTGAGAGGGAGCTTTGCCTTTCTGGGTGGGACTTTCTAACGCCCTTGACGTGTGGATGTACTCTGAGAGTGCGGGTGTGTGCAGGTCTCAGGAAATTTTAACAAGTCTCTTGGTCCCCACCAGCTTATGATGACAAGGTTCAAGAAGAGAAGAACATCGAGTGTGTCTCGGGACAGTACTTCATCCAAGGGGGTGATGAGAGTGAGGAGAAGAAGGCCTGTCAGTTCAAGCGCTCGCTGCTGCAGAACTGCTCCGGCATCGAGGACCCAACGTTTGGATACTCCAAAGGCCAGCCCTGCATCCTGCTGAAGATGAACCGGGTACAAAGGAAGCCATTTGCCTCAGTTCTTTCCTTCAGTGCATCACAGTGTGATAAAGACCATGCAGGGACTGGAACTCTTTCATTTCTCCAGCCCAAGGAAAAAGGGAACTAGAATCCCCAAACCTGCTGGCTCATACCCACTAGAAAACATAAAAAAGAAACACTACAAAACTTGCTTGATTTGATTTGCTGAGGCCTGAGTGCTTGGAGGGTCTTGTGCCAGGCCCTTCTTTGGGAGGTTTTGGGGGTACATTCTAGACTCCCAGGCAATTTACAGTGGGAATTTCATAGAATTGAGTTGACACTGCATTTCCTACAAGCATGGATGGTTTTTGTTTTTGCAGATCATAGGCTACCGCCCTGGTGCCGGGGTCCCTGTGAGCGTGGACTGCAAAGTGCAGGTACTGCTTTCCTTCGTGCTGGGCACTGTGGTGGGTACAAGGCCAAATGCCTCCCTCTGATGGCCCTCACCACCATCTGTCTTCATTTTAGCCCCAAACACTCACAGGACTCGGTGCTGCCCATGTGTCTGGGTGCAAGTGGGGGTCGGTCTGCTGAGAGCAGCAGAGGCCACTGGTCTCCTGTTTCCCACCTTGGCCATCACCCTCTGAGCGCTGCTGGCTCCTGTCAGCCTGACTGGCAGCACTCTGCTCAGCCCACTGCCCAGGCAGCTGCTGGATCATACCCTAGAAATCAACAGGCAGCAAACTCAAACCCCTGCCCAAGGCTCCATAGCTCCGTTCTGCCCTGGCTGGGAGCAGGAGAGCAGCTGGGCTCCCAGCAGACACACAGCACAGCTGAGCCCTGCCGTGGGCTGGGGAGACACACCCACAGTAAAGCTCCTTCGCCTTGCTCTGCAGGGAGCTGTATTTTGTGTCCCATGTCCTATGTGTGTGTGTGTCCTTGTTCTTTTTCTGATCGCAGAAAGGCAATGAGAGCCATCTCAGATCCGTGGACTTCTACCCTGGGAACGGGACGTTTGACCTCATGTATTATCCCTACTATGGCAAGTTCACTCATGTAAGTAACAGCTCTGGCATCTCTGCTTTGCCTGTGTGAGGAGGAGAGGGCAGCAGCTGCTGCACAGAGTACAGATGTGCTCCCTGGCTATTTTGGGCAGATGCAGGCAGGAGGGAGGCCATGGGCACTGGGATTACAGTGCTCTATTTCTGTCTCTGACAAACCATGGGAAATCCTTGGGGACTCCTGTTCCCCCTTGCTAGCAATGGGAATGATTACATTTATCAGCTGGAGACTAAGATTGGCATTGCTAACTCCCAGAGAAGGTCTCAACACCAGCATTTTCCCAGGATATTAGGGAAGTCAGGGGTTAGGTGACACAAGAGGAAAAGGATGGGGCATCTGACAAAGCTATGGCAAAACAGCTTTCAGGCTGGATGGCTCCAAATAGAGCAGTCCAGCATCAGCAGCTATTTCTGAACATGCTGGCCAGCACTGCTCTGGCCTGTGCAGTGCTGGCAGGGAACACACCACCACAACAAAACCTGAAGTGGAAGATGAGGCAGGCACTAGACTCCTATTGTCATACTGCTGCCAGCTGAGGATGAGTAACAGCCCCAGACACCATGTCTGCATGTCCTTGGAGCACACAGATCCATGGAACACCACAGATCTCTTATTACAAGCCATAGGCTGGTTTTTAGAACAGCAAAAAGTATTTGAGAGTCCCACTGTCTGGTGTTGTCCTGGGTAATCAGCCCAAGAGGCAACTACAAAACTCCAACATGATCCCATCCCTCTGAGGCACAGGCACAGAAAGGCTCAACTTCATCACCCCAAGGGACCACAACGGACATCAAGGAAATGCTCTCAGATCCCTGGGAACTGTGAACCAATTACTAATGATTTTGCTGATCATGAGAGCCCAGCCTGCTTTTGTGCTCCCCCAAAATCACACTTAAATCTCCCTGCTTTTCAGGTCAACTACACATCCCCACTGGTGGCCATGCACTTTACAGACGTGGAGAAGAATCACTTGGTCCCCATTCAGTGCAGTCTGAATGGCAAAGGGATTATCAATGACCTTAACAGCGACCGCTTCCTGGGCCGAATCATCTTCACACTCAGCATTGGGAAGTAGCCACTGCCAACACCAGGCACTTAGGTTAAGTCAATCAGAGCCTTTTTCCTTTTTAAAGCATCAAGCCAGCATTTTTTCAGCTAGGAAAAACAGGCACATGGAGATTATTGTTAATTTATTTTTGGTTCATAGTTAGGAAACAAATGAAAAGCAACGGAGCATGGATCCACGTTTTTCATCACCTGATGTAAATCATTATTAGTAAAAATTGAGTTATGTCCTGGGCAGAGAACCTGCAAAAGCATTTCAGTTTTGATTCAAAAAAATTCTGGTATCCGAAAGCTACTTTCATAAGGTCTGTTACAAGTGACCCCTGTGGAATGCATTTTTCCATAGTTTTATGTGCATTTCTCAGGCAAAAGCTAACACGAGGGCAGTTTATTAGCACTATTATTGTTAAAATAATAAACAGCAAAAAATCTGGATTATGCCTGCAATAACTGAGTTAAAAAGCGAAAATGGCAGTTTCTCAAAATGCCTTCCAGGATCTTCGGCACCAGAAGGATCTTGACTGCAGCGTTTTACACAGCTTGTTCAGCACACCCAAGGTGTTGAGCAAGGGCCACGTAGAAAATCATTTGCCCTTGAACCTTTCCAGCTGTTCCTTTCTGATGTGGGAAGATTAATGTGTTTGTCCCTCCCTCCTCCTCACTCCAGTACTTCTCTCTGCCCCAGGAATCCTCATCAAGTCTCTCAGGCAGGGCCAAGCGAAAGGAGCTCTCTTGTTACGGTTCACAGCTTGGCAGTGCCTCATTCCTTGCCCTGATCAGGCACAGAAGTGCCCAGAGCTTCCAGACTGGTTCTTCCCTGTTCCAGAGAGGCCACAGCTCTAACGCTGCAGCCACCGTGGGGAAACGCTCAGTGCTTTAACTGTTAAAGGGTCACTGTGGATATTGATGCAGCCACCAGTTCACCATCCCCAGGGGTGATGGAGCACATCTGTCCCGGTGCGAGCAGAGCACTGCCACCCACAGCAACCTCTGCTGCACCACTCGACCCTCCCAGCCCTCCTGTCTGAGACAGGAACTGCACTCTGCGTGTTGGGAGATACCAGAACGCAGCAGGACAGGACACCTTGGGATAATGCACTAGTTGGAAAGCACACTTACTAAAATTACTGACTGAACAGGAGCATTATGGTATGTTTGTCCTACATCCTAGTCCAGGTACTTAATCTGCCGTCATTTCCTGATCTATATAAGTCTCTAAGAAGTAATTTTTTTGTATTAAAAATAAAGTGACTACAGTAAAATTAACTCTGTGGTAGCATTCTTCAAACACTGGTGTCAGAGATGCAGTTTGTGACTTTAGCTCCCTGTGCTGGCCACTTAGGGGCCGAATTTCAAGGCAGCATGTAACTTGAGCCTGGAATTCTGAGCACTTGATTAACTTCCTCGGGCCAAAGAGTTCAGGAGTCCAGTACAAGAACACTCACTCTATACTATCACAACCAACCATCTGGAAATACCTATTTATTAAGAAGTGTTAAAAACCTGAACTAGAGGTAGTTTAGGAACTAATTCTGCCCAGATGTCATTACTCAGATGACACTGATAGAGCCAGGGCAGCACGAGTTATCTGAAAGGGCATCTTCTGATCAACAGAAACTGCCTTCTGCCAAGGGAGATGCTGCTGGAGGAGTGGCTCTTCTTTTGCCATCAGAAGTAAACTGAACCCACAAGCACTTCTCCCCCTGCCAGTTGCTTTATCTCTTTTAATACATTTATATTTCTGTGGGGTCTTGAAAGGAAACCAAACCCTTCATGCTTTTTGCCATTAAATTAACAGTTCTTACGGCAGCAACAGGGTAAAACTTTATGTCTATTCGCTATCTGCCTGGTGGAAGGATTCATGAAGGAGCAGGCCCTTTAGCAGACACTGGACCCTTGCTTTGATCACATCAACAAGAAAAATTGACTTATTTGGATGCAAATGTGTGAACATTTTAGAAGCAAAAGCTTCTGTTTCACCATCAACATCCAGATCCAGGCATGTTGACAATCCCACTGGAAAATCTCTCAGAGACTGGCATGTGTTGTCTACTTACACCGAAACAAAGCTTTATAAACACAAGAGTTAGCTTTATTTTCCATACACATATTCTGCTTTCAGCATATTTGTACAGTCATTTCAAGATCTGGAAAACTGTATACACCACTCTTCATGCTGCAACAACCTGAAAGTGCTGGATCAATTTTCGACTTCTATTGAAGCTCAAAATAATACTTTATATGTATATATAAAATATATATATGTGTGTGTGTCTGCATCTGGTAAATGACCACATTTTACTAAAATAGCCTAGCAAAAGTGATGTCAAATACTTCAATCTGCAATCTGAGCATGAAACCATAGCTGGGTCCATCTGCTGGCAGCAGAGAAGCACCACACTGACAAGGGGGTATTATTCAGAAATTGCCAGCCTTGAAATAATTCCATTTACCACTCTGGCAGGGAAATCAAGTATTGTGAGAGCAAAGGTACAATACAGAGGACCAAGACAACCAAATCTGAAGCACACAGTCCAACTCATCAGAAGCATTAAATTACATTCCTAAAAAAAAAAGACAACTTGGTTCAAGAGCCCATTTGCAGTACAAAGTCACTTTTGTCAGATTCAGGTAGAGTGTATCTTTGGTCACAGTGAGGACAAGAATAATTGAATGTACAGGTATTTCTCGGACATCAAAACTAACTCTTCAGAAATCTCCCTTCCCTGAATATAGAGCTGTTGTGAGTTACTTAAACAGCAGTGCTGGCTGTCCCCTCTGAGCACGTGAATTACCGAAGGTGCTTTCCCTACCACATGGATGTGGGCTCAGTGCACAAAGAGATTAAATATTAAAGCAGCTTTAGCAAACATTTGCTGCAGAGGACAGAACTCTGTGTGCCCTCAGCAGCTCCCTGCAGGCCTGGCAGCTCTCGAGCTGTCCCACAGCTGGAGATCAGGGCTCGTTGGCTGCATGAGGCTTTTGCCAACGTGGACCAAAAAGGCTGAAAGAGCAAGAGGCTTCTTTCATCCTTCCATCCCACCAACATGGACCTGATGGGGATGAAGCAGAACACAACCACTAACGACTAACTTATATTTTGGTACAGTTTATATATGGAACATAGAATTGCAAAAGGTATGGCATTAATAACAAAGAAAGCATCTTCAGACAGGTCAGATGCTCTTATTCCTTTGGAAGTCACTTTCTTCACTATATATATATATATATATTCTGCTTTATGATCAGCATTCCTCATGCTAGAAATTTTGTGCTCTTACACTGAGACAGTAATAATGAGGAGGTTAAAAGCAGATTAATTCTATCAAAACCGACTGGTTTTATATCTTCACTTGCATTCCTAAATCACAGCTTTTCAGTGATCCCTTGTTAACCTATGAAAGCTGTCCAAACGACCTGCAGGAATCTCTGAGCAATCTGTGTTTAGTCAGTCTTTGAGTGCTCTGAAAATACTCTTGAGCCTCACATGGAGCAGTGCTGTGTAGTTTCTTTTATGTTCAGAATCAAAGCTGAGAGAAACTGCAGCCAGTGAAATTCCAGCCTCCCACCCTCATTTCACAATTGAGCTCAGAACAAAAGGAAAAATGCAGTCCAACAAAATAGCACAGGAGACATTTCCTTTTGCAGACTGTTGGCTTTTCTGAGTAGCCAAAGTTCTCCAGAACTGAGCCTGATCTTAGCAAATTAGCCATCATGCCAAGTGCAGAGCTATTCAACACATGCTACAGTCAACTTCTCCATACTGATGTTAAACAAATTAATTTACTGGAAGATTCAGATGCTCTTCTCATATTATGTTATTACTGAGATCAGGTACTACCTTTACATTCAGAAAGAACAGGAAATTCAGACTGGTTCCCAAGAACAGCCATATGCCAAGTTCCCCATGGAAGTCTGTTAAGAGTGTGGTATTTTTTCCCACTGCACGTACAGTCCCTTTTGACACAGCATTCACACTTTTAATTATAGTTTTAGCTTTAGCATTATATCCAAGACAAGCTGTAGGCAGCTAGAAATTTTCTTGTATAAAAAGATTAAACAACATAAAGCTTGGTAGATGTCTTCTTTCCTCAAAATAACTTCTCACAAGGACACACATCACCTCTGCTCAATTCTGTGGTCCTCACAACACTTACTTTTTCCAAAATCATACAGTAGCTTCAAGTAATCGTGACTCATCTTCATACTCGGGGCACGTTACCCTACCATGAAGTGATTTAAATCTTTTTTAAAGAAAGAAACCATAAATTAATTTGTTTTTCTTCTTTTTAAAGGGGCAGGTCAGGGAGTCTGGGAAAGGGAGAAGAGCAGGGAAGGCGGCAACAGAGATGGAATGAAGAGATTACACAGACTGATAGCCAGTACGACTTTTCCTTCTTCCAATGAGGTAAGATATAAAGACAAGAATGATAAGGAATCCAAGTGCCATGCCCACTGCGATGGGAATAAGAAAGTTCAGGTCAGAATCAGCAGAGCATTCTTGGGCTGCAGAAAGGAGAAAAACAAAAAAGAAGCAAGGGAGAGTAAGTTAGTAAGGGAAATCAGGCATTAGAAACCAAAGAGAGCAAGGAGCAAAGAGGCATTTTTGAGAAATTACGGTGTATTAGACACAGTAATACATCTAAAGTGAAATCAGCAGTGAGTAAAGAATTGATGGAGAGTGGTTTCTTTAAACATATATTCTACACACATAATTTATATTGGTACTCTATGTCTTCCAATTTCTACATTTAATTTCAGCTTCCTCTAGCGAGGATAAATCAGAAATGTGAGGACAAACCAGCAGTCTGAGCATGCATAAGCTGATCACACCTCAGAGTTAGCAGCAATAAAGCAACAAAACCCCCAGACTGGTGCATTATTGCCTCGTCCAAGGCTATTCCAACCCTCAAGTCACCAGCACCTCTCTGGGTTCTAGACATGAGGAAATAAGGGACAATCCAAGTAACAAAGTGGAAACTTACTGAAAAGCACTGAACAGAAAATGCTGACAGACTCTCTTGGGGTGGGTACCTTTATTTTCAGCACAAAAGGGTTACCAGTTTCAGATGACAAGTACACAGACCTCACTGAAATCCACAGAGGAGTTAAAAAGCAGATGAGGCAGCTGTAATGCTACACTGGTTTTTAATATACAGGTTATAAAACATGTGAGGAGTGCCTTGCTGATATAAACACTCATCAAGGATTAGCAAACAACGCTGGGAACTGGTTTCAAACTCAGGGATACACCTCAGACCAGGGGACAGGGCTTGGCATTCTCTGCTGTTGGTAACAAGAGCAGAGCTCCACCTGCCTGGTGCCAGGAGAGGTTTGGTGAGATCCTGAGATCGTGCCTGGAAGGGTGCCTGACTTACATGATTCTCATCCTGCACCCAGATTATCTGAAGGCACCTAATGCCAAGCAGAGCAACACTCGGAAAGAAAGAAAAAAAGAAAAAAAAAAAGGTGGAAAGGAACTACTGGGAAGGTATTTAAGCATCTTAAAGAGAAACTCGCATTCAAGGTCTAGTCATCGTTGTTCATTGAAGATGGGTCACTAACACTAAACACAAATGGGTTTGTTAAGTACAAAGAGCACCCAGCAGGCAGGGACAGACAATTCCCTGTGTTCTTTAGAGGAAGGGGATCACTGCAGGACACATCACACTATGACAACTGCAAAGAATTCCCAGAGAGGGTTTATGGTTTCAGACCAGGGGTGGTCACTGTACTGGTTAGAAGCTTCAGAGGTGTCTGCACATGCAGAACTGGTGACTACACCCCTGCACACAGGCCCTGCACTGGGGCCAGCAGGAACAGCTTTTGCGGCTGATGTGGCTGAACGTGCCTCCAATCAAAGTAATCCAGAAATTTTGGCCCAAAACTTCCTTAGCCCCAGTATAGAAGCTACCTTCCCTTTTAATTCCAATCATGAGATTCAACCAATAGCCCCCAATTTGTTGTTTTATTGGTATATGCTACGCAATAGAGAACACTGTGGTAGATTTAAAAATTAAAAACCAGCCAAACAAAAAACAAATTAACAAATACCCCCAAAAAAACCCCCGAGACCATCATTCATTAGCCAGAACTGCTTCTTTTGAGACCTATGAGTATGACATCTTTAACCTAAAAGATCAGAAATCTTGGCATTTTAGAGTACAGTCTATTCAATAAACTGTGTATAAGGCACAAACCCAACCACACTCTATGATAGATGATACACATTAATAGTCAACATCCACAAGCACATCCTATTTAAGTGCTGTTTCCACAGACCAGAAC